TTAGACAAATATGGATTTGCAGAAGATTTGGAATTTGAAATCAGTTTTAAGCTGTCCAAGAGAATTGCTGTTCCAAGTCATGAACCTCGTGCTAACGCATATTTCTAAGCTGCAAAAATTGTCCGTCAGGATTGCCTAGAATCATTTTTGGAAAATCGCAGCATGAATTCGGCTCGCAAATTATGACATCCTTGTTTTGTGTTCTAAAACATTTCGGATTTGACAGGTCCTTCCATAATTTTAAATGTAGGCTCTCTACAAAAAATTCTTTCAGTATCACAAGGTTTCAACTTGATCCCATAGGGATTCAATACAAAGGTTTTTTTTCTGGTCCCTTGAATGTCGTTGTAGAGAGTCCATCTGTAATATCAAACTACTGTACATTACCGTATAAGAAGCAACCAGGATTCACATTTCACTTCTTCCTTTGTGTTTCATAAATCAGACAATCCTGACTTGAACACTAGGCACTGTTGATGTACTTGATCAATCTGCAAATAAACTGAATTCAAGTAAAAAAAAAATCAGTTGAAGAAATGGTCTCAGTACAACACTTTTTTTTGTAAACAATGGTTTTCAATTTGGCTTCTTTAATGGAAAGACCAGAAAACATTCTCATTTTTAACTCTGATGCATTTTAAACGGAATGTCTCTTCATGAATTTGGGTAAGGCATGGCCAGGAGAACAAGTGCAGTGTCCGTCTTGGCACTAATCCTGACACTACATTTGCACTTGCCGTTTGCTGAGAACATCGTAATTAGAGGTAGGACATCATTAGTGCCTCCGAGACAAATCCGTACACTTGACCCACACGCCCCGTATAAACTCCGGTTGTCTGACGGCTCCGTCGTGCCACAATGTCACAAGCCGCCTTCAATTGAAAACGCGTATTTGGATCTTGAATTGTACCGGAATCCGGGTCTTGTGAGGGATCACGTGAGTTTTTATTATTCATAGTGCCACATTTTTGTGTACTGCTTTTTTTTTATGCTGGAAGCTGACGCTGTTTTCTGTCGGAGAAGCTGCGAATTATCACTGTTTACCTGGTTACTTCGCTGGGAGGCCGTATCAATACACGATCGCCGCCAAGTGTGTTCAGGCGCGTGATGGAATCCCTTATTGGGAGGTTCGAGGGGCCTGTACGAAATATCGTGAGTTTGCCTCCAAACTGTGAAATAATAGCGTTGGAACGCTGTTCGTTGCCGAAATCGATGAAATAGTGAGAGTGTCGCTCAATTTTGTTATTTAATTCTTGAAAATTTTTTTCTGTTGACTCCATTGATGAGAAGTGAGACAACACATAGAAGAGTTTTTCTTTTCATTGTGCTTCTCATAGAAACGAATAAAATGTTGAATCAAGGAAAATCATGAATCAAATCAACTCGTCAAGCTGATGAGTTCGAAGGTATGTGGTTCACGATGTAGTTCCGTCGCAAATTCATATAAATATGCCCCGAGCTCGTTTTTTCTGTTTGATTCTTGCATGAAGTAATGTCGTATTTTTCTTATTTCGCTGCGTATTTTTCGAAATTTGAGAAAGAAACTTTTTAGAAGGGGTTGCAGCTGCTAAAGAAGAACTGTACAAAATTTCCGTCGTACTGTCATTTCTTCGTTACAAGTGTATGAGTTTTCTGTGGAAAGAATGACATGGAAGAGCTCTTTACTGATATCAGGCTCATGTGGCCTACAATTCATGCCTTTTCTTATTCTAAATTGTACGTTAAAAAAAAATCCGGATTACCTGGAAACGAAGGAATACGACTACGTTTTTCCGTTTGTATGATTTTTCATCTCAAGCTCGAAGCAAGTGAAGTTGAATAAGTAAATTGTGTATTTCATCGATTTAACTTCATTTGGGAAGAACTGTGTATGAATTTTGTTCACTTTTTGTAAAATAAAATCTCCATTTTTTTAGCCAAGTGCAGCGTGCCACCGATTATCCATGATGCCGTTCTGAGCCTGAAAGATTCAAGCAGAAGGGAATTCGATACAGGAGAACGTATTGAGTTCGCGTGTGACGATGGATTTTCTAGTTCCCTGGGAGACATGCTTCCATTTACAACTTGTTCCTTGTCTGAATTTGCTGCCGATTGGGATCCTGTTGTCGGGGACTGTTGGAGAGGTATTCCTTTTTGTATTAGTGCTTGGAGAAGGAGATTGTCAAAGTAAATTTTAAAACTTCATGAGGAATGCACTGCACAATGGAGGGAAGAATATTCGAGCGTTTCATTAAATATTGCATATTGGTCTAGTACTACATTTAATTGAATGCGTCTGTTTTTCTTCAGGTGGTTTATAAATGGCGATGCAATACAGTGAAATCCCGTTAGAATAAACTTGCAGGGTCTTGGGGTGGAAATGTTGAGTTTGAATATTTTTATTTACTGTATTTTGAAACTAGAATGAATTCAATTCCATTTAATTAATCTAATAACAAAAAATTGAGATATAGACCTGCATATAAGAATTATCTTGCTTTTCCGTCTTTTTCAGGTTCTTTACTATTGTTTGATGAACTCATTAGCATAATAAAACAATTGCTTTGTTGAGTATGCTAAAAAAAAATCACATGCGCAAACCAACCAAAATGTTGAGCTTGATAAAAGTGAATTTTCTCTCTTTTTATACCCATTTGAAAAAGAGGGGGAAATTAAATTATATCTTCAGTAAAGAATTTTGATATAATGGCATTGGAAATTTCGTTGTAACGGGAGTGTTTTAACATGTGCCCTGTAGGTTTTCTGTTATAACTTTAAAAAAGTTGTTATGCTGAATAATTTTTTAAAGGTATTTGTTGCATCGAAATTTTACTGTACGGTATTATGTCATTGGAATTTTTTATTGCACGATTTTGTTGTTTAAATGAAATCTGACCGAAGTAAGCTTGGGATTTTTCTTCTAAATTTTCCTAAAACTCAATCACGCTTATGTTTTTAGTTTCATTCAAGTGAAATATGTTTTGGCCGCTATGTGATGGCGATTCCCTCCGAGTCCCTTCAGGTCGTGTATCATGTTGCATTTATTGACGTGCATTTGTCTTTAATATCCAGAAAAATGTATTGTTATGTTGTTGAATACTTGTAATGTATGTTTTTTTTTTGCAGATGGAGAAGTTGGGGACGTGCACAGAAAATTGCATGAAGCCAATTTTTACGCGGAGGATAAACGTGTGGCACGAATCCGAGCAGAGAAGGAAGTACGTGATGCGAGAAGACGTGGAGACGATGTTGCTGGGTCTTCTATGGCCGATACCCGTTTGGTAATCACTAGCTGGCCCACTGATGAGGAATTGGCCGAGGACCGTCGAAGACGTATTGCGTATAACGTTGCCCATGTTCTTGACCGACAGGAGAAAGCCTTCGATCCCTACCACAATGCCCCGCCGTTCTTTGACGAGGCGACTAATTACGAGGATGTGGGTTCCATTTTTTGGAAACAAAACAAAATTAAACATGACTTGAACTTTTCGAAGAATTTCTGACCGATTTTTGAGTAACAATATTGGGAAAGTGCACGGGTGCAAATTCGTATACATTACTGTACTAAAATATACTGTAAGCTTAATCAATTGCTTCTGCATCATATTTTTAAATAGGCTAATCGTATCTAGTAAGAGAATTTTTGATCGGACATAATATCTCAAGTTTTTGTCGAGTAATTCCAGTTTGTTTATCTTTTCACCTAATTCGGCAATATTTAAATTTTTACGATGATAGGAACTCAGTTCAGGATTGAATTTGTTGAATGATCTCACCATTTTTCGTACAAATTTTGCCATTCAAATACCGCCTTGATCTTGTCATGGGGAAATCGGGATTCTAAGTATTGTGCTCTTAAATTGGAAATTTGAGATTTAGTGTTTTTTTTTCATTCAAATTATTGTGGTGTTCTTAAAATTTCCGTTTTAATTATTCGAACGCGCTCCCAAAGTTTTATACCAACCCTATACGAGAGCGTTTGAAGGTTAATTTCAAATCTTTTTTTTTCGAAGTCCCTAAATGTTTGTGCAGTACAGTGATTCCCCGCATAGCGAAGTACCCTCGCGATGAAAATTCTTACGAAGGTTAGAAAAGTTTGAATTTGAATTTTTTTGCGCGGGAAGAACTGACAAAATTTCAAAAATGTTTTGGCTATAAAAAAAAAGAGGAAAATAACCAGAGAAAAGCACCTTTCCCTCTTTGTAGAATTCAGGATATTCAGAGCAATCACCTTACCAGGATTGCTGAAAATTGATGGTACAGTACAGTACTCGATTTAAAATAATTATAATTCACTAACAAGAAAAAAACGCAAAATTAATTTTAAAGTACTCGATTTAAAATGCAAAATTCACTAGGAAAAAATACAGTACATCGTTTTCAGAGTTTTATTTTGGTTTTTTGGGAAGTGCCTGTGATGAATTTAATCGTTGACAATGCAATCTTGAGGATTCGGCGTAACGAAAGGCATCCGAAAAAGAATTACAGTTGTTCAGTTATGCGAAGATCCGGTGTTTTTGAATTTGAGGGAATCTTTGCTCTTCAATGCACTTTTCCCTCTTAATTTTTCAGTCCAAGAAGAAAATCACGAAGGAGTTGAAGGAAAAGTACAGACCGGGAAGAATCGAGCCGACGAGATACGATAAAGATGACACTAAAACGATGGTGCACATGCCGGAATTCATCGTCGGCGGTTCAGAAGAAACTACTGCGGCTGTCAAGGACGAATTCGCCGTAGCACAAGACGCCGCACTGAAGCAGGAAATCAACAGCGTCCAACGAGAAACTCCAGTTAAAGATGATATTGTGCAGCCCGTGCAGAAATCAGTGGCTGCCGGGTTGCTGAAGAAGATCGAGGAATCCTCGATTGGACCCAAGTTCGTTCTGCATCAGGAAGACAGTGTGACGAAACCCGTTGCGAAAAGCAGTGCCGCGAAGCAGGTACTAAATTTTCCTGGAAATAAGACTTGGTTTTCAAAAGAAAGGTAAACCCTAACGTGATTTCTACGCTTCTATCTGTAAAAAAATAAAAATAAAAATAAATAAATTAGAAGGTCATTAAAATGTTTTTGTGGTGGATGAAGAATTGCGCTATTTTCACGAACGCTGATTAATTAATCGAAAGCCTGATAGAACGTTTCCTGTATAATTAAAATACACCGGAAAGTGTTTTTAGACTAGGCCTAAAACGCGACGTATTTTAATTGAAAACGCCCAGAAAGCAACATGTTTTTCAACACGCGAAATTAAATTCCGCGAGCAATTTATTGCATGAAACTGTCACCCAGAAAAACCAGATTAAAAAACGCCCGCTTTCTCAAAATAGAATTTTCAATCGCTAGTCTTATGCTTTTATTTTTGTATCGTGTTGGAAACATTTTTCTTCTGTAATAATACAGCACATTACTGTATTGTATATTCCAGTACAGAATTCAAGGGGATAAAGTATGAAAGATAATATTGAAGCTTTGTCAGTTCTTAGATAATGAGTTTATGTTGAATCAGAATTTTGAAATCAGCCAAAGGGGGAGCAAGTCTCTTTCTTGATATTGTGGAATAACAATGTAATAAAATTTCTGTGTGCCAAACTTTTTGAAGGAATTGATTAGAATTTTTCGATTACAGAGTTTCCTTACTGAAGCATGTACAGTCTCTTCAAATAAGGCTGTGTCTGGTTCTTGGAACATGAATGGAAGGTTTCAAGTTGATCAAACAATTCAGACAATTTTTATGAAACAAAATAAAAAAATATTTTATAATCCCTATAATTCATGAAATCAGCGTTCTTCTCGCCATGGAGGGAGCAAGTCTCTTTCATGATTTTGTGGAATAACGTGCATCCCCCGATACTGTGCAAATCTGTGGTAGTTTTTTTTTTCTTCCTACAATTTTGCTTGAAATTTCTTCGATTTTTCTGTGAAGTATCAGGTTCAGCAAGACAGTATTGTCCCTGCTGCTGTCCACATGCATTCCGATGAGAAGGATATCCAGAGAGACTTGAGGTTAGACAAGCTGATTCATCACTTTGAGCAGGATCACCCAGAGCTTTTGAATCGATTCAAATACGAAGAATTGCACAATCATGTGCATCAAGTTGCTGTGCTTGAAGGTGCATTCATTTGATACAATTTAGTTTAATTCACACGAAAATTTAACGAGGTATCGTGTAATTTTAGGAGATTTGGCGTTGATGGAAGCAGATGACGATGAAGATGACGATGCGTTGGAAGACTTCGAGAATTATCCAGAGGATTATGAGGCTATGGTTGAAGAATTGGAATCGAACGACGCTGAATATTGTAAGTTCGTGAATGCTTGGCAGAGAAAAAATACGGTTGAAATTAATTATCATTGTCCGAGTTCATGGAAATCATTTTTACATTTGCATCAGTCCTTATTTTCAATATATTTTATGCTTGCTAAAATAAATGTACACATGTGATACACACAGTGTAGTGTTTAATATCTCTCGTCGGTTTTCGAACATGAGCTTTAGGATGGCATTAAGATTATTCTCTTTCTAAGAAAAATGAAAACAATAAATTATTTGTAAACTTCAATTTTACATTTCACATATACGATTTCTGGACTACATTTTCACCCAATTTCAATCCTGTGCATTTGGATGTAATTTCCATCGATATGCGAAGTGTGACGTCCTCCACTTTTTATTTAAATTTTTTGAGTTTCGGTTGCAAGGATTTTTCAAGTATTTCGAGTATTGAATTTAGCTGAGGAATCTTATTTCGGAGTTCATTTTTCATTTCTGGTGTATTCATCATAAACATCTGGTTGATGCCTTTCTTTTTAGCCGATCAGCCAAGATGGCTGTCTCACAAAGAAGGCAAGAGAGAATCAAAGCGTTTGGCGCACTTGATCACTATGCAGAAATTCAATCCTCACAGGGAACCTAAATCTCCTCCAATAGGTGGGTTCATTATTATTGAAATGCTGTACTTTGCAGTCTTGTTTCAAAACATTGTTTTTTCTGACAAGATTTCAAGTTTCCCAGCACGGAAAAGAGTCTGAGAGGCTCAACTAGAAAGGAATCCTTATCATCTGCTATGCCTGTCCCATGCGATGGGCCAAACTGTGACTCGGAATTTTGGTCTATGGAAGTTCCACCGGCTGGTGAGAGAGTCTATTATTATTTATCTTCCACCGAATCTTAAATCTGCTTTCTTGTAACTGTCGAACCTATCAAGTCGAACTTCGATGGACCAGCAAACAAATAATTGAGTTGTTGAGCGAAAAGAAGGAAAAATTACTAATTGTCATTGATGATTTTCTGAGCTTTTAATTGTTTCTTGAGTGAGTTGGCAGGATGCTGAACTTGGAGGCAATGGTTCATTTGTCCAATTAGTCTTTCACTTCCATTCAAAATATGCCAAGTTACATTTTTATTTATTTTCTCTTTTGTCAATAAAATAATAGCAAACAGGCCTCAAGAAAATTTGCTTTATGATGGTGTGAGGAGGGAAGCCTTTGAGTTAAGGAGGTTTTCAATGCATTATTTCTAAATTAATTTCGACAGGGTCTCGAAAAAAAAACCTTTGCGTGAAGATGTACAGTATTCGAATTAAGGAAGTTTGAGTTATAGAGGTTCAACTATATTCATTTTTCAAGAAAGCGGTTTAGGATCGGTGAAAAACCTGAGACGACCTGAAAGTTCCGAAGAAGTGCCGGAAAAGGTCAAAAACATCCCCGAGGTCAACCAGCACCATAAGAAGGGGAAGAGCAAAATCTGCACTGGAGACGACTGTGGTAAGAAACCTTGGAAGTCCTAAAAATTGAGATGTGTTATAGGAGTAAATTAAATTATATAATAAGTTATATTATGGAAGGTGAATAAGTTATGCAATTCTGATCAGTCTGGATTTGTGCTTCGAACTATTATCCCAAAGCAATTCATTCTATTCCGTCAATTCAGCGCTTGACATCTGAATTCTTTATTTCATTGTGTAGGTGTCGCCCCAAATACGCCCAATTTCAGTTATAATTAGACTGCATTATTATTTCAGGGTAGGTTATATCGGATACTTTTTGTGAAGGAATAATTTTTAGTGTTCGCTTATAATTATATATTTTCGATAGTTTTTGGCGTATTTATTGTGATTATTTTTAGCCCATCAGTTGTTCATGAGACATCTGTCTGAATTTTCATGATGCAATTTTAAGGATTTTGGTGAGATTTGCTCAAGAAATGCAGAATGTCACGATCTCTGCTTTGAAAATCGTTTATATCGTGGTGAACTTTTTTTTTTGAGGATGGGGGAAATTTTGATCAGGAGTTCTTGTTTTGACCTATTCAGAAGGAGCCAATTTTTTATGCACAGTATAATTGAAATGTAAAGAATTTAACGTCCCTTGTCTTTAATGTTACCTGCTTTTGACCTCGTAATGAAGTTCTTCATTAGCAATCGTGTTTCTTGAGCTCAGATCATCTTGAGATCTAGATTGAAATCAGGGCTTCTGTTTCCCGTCTTTCTATATCTAATGAAATCTCTACCTTGGAAAACATATTTTCTCGATGTCGATAATTGTTGCCAGTATTGAAATTAGCTGTTTTCCAAATCAGATCTGAGAGCCTCTTGGGGTCTCGGCAAGGCGCCTGCTCCTCCGGAAAAAGGTGAAAAGCCGGAATTGGTGAAACTTTTGTGGCCTGGTAGACCCGACACTGGCCGAAGTCCAGACTACGACACTAGAAACGATCCTGATGAGGAAGAAAGCTTTGATGAACGACCCGCTTGGGTCCAATGGCTGTCCAAGCCCAAGAACCTCGTGATTGCGTTTGTTATGTTGGTTGCCTGCACTTATACTCTGCTTTGGCTGCGTTGTTGCGTCAAAGGAAAGCCGTGAGTATATAACTGTACCTGTATTTTTTTCAAGAATAATTCGTGTGTTCGAGAAGTAGCTGTGGAATAGATGGATGCGTGAATTGTTGAGATTAATTTGCCGAACTTTTCTGCATAGTGACGAATTAACTTCTTGTGGCGAGCTCACGTCTCATCTGGAACGGATTTATCTTGGGTAGATGTCACTGCCTGTAAAGATTGATGCGAATTTTTCTTTTACGATGGTTTTGACTTGAGTTTGCTGCAGAATATATTTTTTTTTGTCTTCGGAATGCGCTTGAAATTCTGGCGCCTTTGAGCTGCTGGCTTTCTCAGTTAGGAATACTATTTTCAACACCGTGTTTTTTATTAAGTGCATCCAAGATTGAAAGTTGTGTTTGTCAAGTGTTGCCACGTTTTTACCAAGCTTGAAGCTATTCGAATTCCAATGAAATCCTTCTGTAGCAAATAGTTACAGCATTTTTTCAATGCAACCCATTTTTCGGCAGCAGAAAGCCCGTAAAGTATATTCAAAAATAATCTCATCGCGACAAACTCGCCGATTTCAATGCTACAAACTTTTTAAGAAATACGTTGATTAATTCCTGATTAAAAATTTTCTTACTAGAGGCAGGTCCAATCTTGAATTTTTGTTTTCAACTGTGACTAGGACGCTGGTTCTTGGAATATGAATGGAAAGGTTTCGAGTTGATCCAACAATTTATAAGATTTTCATTACGCATAATACTGTAATTAAATTTTTAAAACTCACAATCTAATTTGAAAAAAATGTCCCGGTCTCTGATTTTGATAATCTTGTAGAAAACAAGGTATTGGTCCAAGAACTTGATTAAATGCGTCAAATTTGAAACCATCTTGCTTGTCATTGATTTTTTAAATTTTTTTATCCCAAATTCTCTAGTGCAACTAAGTTGTTACACTCCCGAAACGTTTTTTGTGGTTGGATTTTTCGGAATTCCCTTGAGGTGCAGCATGATACTGAGTTAAATATATTCGTTTTGACATTAAGGGATTCTTCGCAGATTATTTCCAAGGATATGTGCGAGAAAAGGGGTTTTGTTCATTGTCCAGTTCGCTGTTTTCCCCTTCCATCCATTTTTCCTAACTCCGTTTTCATCCTCGTCATTTTTTTTTATCTGAATTTCCTCACATTGTTATTCAAATTTCACTGGCATAATCTGACATTTCTTCTCACTGGCGTTTTCTCATGGCTCTAGTTGCTCGTCCAAGTCGCCATACCTTGGGGTTTCTCATAGGTTTTGTGAATCACGTGCAAGTCATTTCAGTTGGATAACTGCTCCTAGAAAACTTATTTTCTACAACTTATTACTGGTTCATGTGAGAAAAATTTCGGAATGGTTCACGTGAAGGAACTTTTTTTTGTGTGAGGATTAACGGAAGGAAATTTAGCACGAACTTTTTCTTCTTGACGAGTGCCAGGACCTAAAAATCACTTGAGATAGAAGTTTTGTATCTTACGCGTTTTTTAAAATTATTTTCAAAAGTGTTTGTGATGCAATGTTCCAATAAAATTGAAATTTTACTGGAATTGCGCAGTTGGTGAAGGCGCCAGCTGAAGATCCTCGATTGAGTTTTTATATTAATAAATCGAATTTTTATTATTTAATTCAGAAGCTCCTCGAATCTTGGGATGATAGACAAAATTTTAGAAATTCGCAATTCATTTTTTATTTTTCCATGGAGTAGATCAATATATTTTAGGTCTCTCAGATTATTTGATGCTGTTTCAATTTCAATCATGAAGTTTGTTTTTATTAGGAAATTTTTCGTAATTGTCTCAGAAGTTTTATGTTACTGCTAAAAAACGCAAATTCGTCATAATGTTGTGGATATTTGAGGAAAAATAATCAACGCAACAACATTGAAAGGAAGCAAGTATATTTTCTAATAATGTATATTCCAATATTTTTAATATTTATTCTGCTGGCGTAGTTCAATTTTTATAATATGTTCCCCTTGGGTTGATGAGGAAGAGTTACTCAAAGAATCTCTGCTAGTGTCTCTAATTCCTCGAATGAGGTTGGTTTTCCAAATAAACAATGAGAGTTTTAAATAGCGTCCCCGAGGTTCAACCACCTGGTGTTACGTAATAAAATACTTTTAGTGCGTGAACTTTTTGTACAACCTCTCGTGATTCACGAAGCTAGTTACTTACGCCTCTGGTGACGTTCCCGGCATATTTTTGTATGAATAACGATGCTCTGAATTCGCTTTTGAAGCCACGTGAAACTCGCGTGGATGGATTGAATTCATGAATCGGATCAAGCGGTCAAATCCCACCCCTCGGGGGGGAGGAGAGTGTGATGAAATTTGATCCGGTGAAATTCAGTCGCTTTTTGCCAGTTACTGTACTTTCTTGCTTACCACAAAACCTTGATATTTGTTTTTCTCCCCTCTTCGAGATCAAGGATGGACTTGACACACCGAATGTGGAAGGTCCACTGTAGTATTTCATTTTATTTTTGTCTCGTCGTTGCTGCGAACAATTGTAGGCTTCCGAATCCTGGACTCGTTGCGACATCGTGTCGTTTGTCACCATGCTTCTCTGGTTGATTTTATTTTTTCAGAGCCTATTGATTCGAAGCTGAAGACGACCGTATAAGGGATTGGTTCTAGGAAATTGCCTCTGCGTCGGATGTGATCGATGGGCTCAGCACGTTTTGTCTGGTCGCATTGTGCAATGAGACGGTTTTGTTTTTGTTGGGCGCTTTTTTGGGATTAATTTTTCATTTGGTGGCAATTTTAATGATGCGCGTGCAGAAAAGAAGTGAACAGCCAGGTCGAAAAACAGCACGAGATGGATTGAAAAATATCACATAGGCCCCGATCTATGGACGATTTAACTGAGGGACCTTTGAAACTCGAAAAATCCTGCCCGGCATCCTGACAATGTCTCGAGATACGGACCTTTCGCCAACTTTTCTAGAAGAATGGAACAAAACTATGTTTCAAAGTGTTCACGTCTTCTTGAGTTATGTATAATACATTTACAGTATCAATATTCCCACAAATTTAAAATAACATGTGATTTTAAATTTACTCTCAAAAAAGAAGAAAAAATTAAATTTGTTGATCAGGTTTTTTTTCATGATCTGTGCAGAGTTTAGCAAGACTTCTGCTTTTTATTTGCTTTTTGTGCTCTTTTTCATGCTAAAAATCAGATTCTGTGAGGTTTCTTTCTGCGCAGTTATTTTATGCATGTTGAAGCTGAGATATACATTTTTAATCTATTTTGTTGGGACTTTTTCCTAATTATTGATGAACAGGAGAACTGATTGAATATGTTCCCGTTGAAGCTTTTGGGAAAACCTGATTTGACATGCAGATGTTCTGAAATATTAGGGATAAGGTCCAAGTACCGATTACGTCGAGATCTTGGGGCCCCGCGATATCAAACGATTTTTGTGAAGTGATGCATATGAAAAAATTCTTGCTACTGTCTGTTTTTCTGAATAATTGATCTTGAATGAAGCGTCAAGGTTTGACGAGAATTTCAGTCAATTGTCACAGGATGATTTTCTGGTGCTTGGATTGTCGCACTTTTTTTTATTAGTCCCTCGTTGTTTTGAGATACGCTCAAGCGTGACTTACGTCAGAATATTTCCTCCTGAGATTTCTTAGCATGTTTAATTTCCGACTACTGTAAAAATTATGTAAGATGGTCATTTTGTTGAACATAAAATGTGCAGTGACACGCGTAAGGTTATGAGTAATTGATTAACTTGAAAGAACCTTTGTTTATTGTTTCCCAAAACCACTTTTTATGAGACCTGTTTTTTCTCTGTCCTGTTTTCCGTACGAATAACAAAGCCTTGGCGTGGATTATTTCCTTTTCGCAGATTTTTTTTTTCCACATTCAGGAAAGTTTTTGGAAGTAAATTAATTGCATTATTTGAGGTTTCCTGTTTAAACATGTATTTTTTGCGCACGTACTCGTTCCGAAGGTTTATTCAAATAAGAAAAGCTCGATTTCCACATTTTTTATGCGAATTATAATATTATTTTTCATTCTTGATTAGCGTTGTCGTTAACATTTTGGAGTGTGTGAGAAATTATTTAACGGGGAGTCTCACCAAATAATTCTGCCATTCTTCTAAAAAAAAAAGAACTCGTTGATCTCGATAAGGTCCATCATCCAGCACCTTTTGTTAATTTTTAGTAGGTTTGGATTGGGTTTATTTTTATTTTTTGATCAAATCTTCAAGGACCTGTATTATTCGAAGAGGGGAAACTCGTTGAATTATTTTAGCACGAAACAATATCACACTAGGTTGCAGTTGTGCTCTATGACCCCGGAGAAGGCTATTTTTTCATTCACTTATTNATCAAATCTTCAAGGACCTGTATTATTCGAAGAGGGGAAACTCGTTGAATTATTTTAGCACGAAACAATATCACACTAGGTTGCAGTTGTGCTCTATGACCCCGGAGAAGGCTATTTTTTCATTCACTTATTCGCGTCGATCGTTATCATAGGATTCGTGGCTTTGTTTGGTAGCTTGTCTTTCGAGTTCATGAATTATTTCGTAGGCAATGCGGTTTTTTTTTTTTTTCTGTTGCTGGAGACGAAAAACCTTGTATAAAATGCCAGTTCGTTGATCGGGCTTCAGATGATTCGTGTCGAGAGTCGTGAGCACTTGGAAAAAATCGTAGACTATTTTCCTAGTTTTTGCGTAATCTCGGAATTGAAAAAGAAGTTTTTCTGATGCCTTTCTTTTAAGTCGTGTGGGAATGTTAGGTTGAATCGCGTGTTTGTGAGCTTTTTTCCGTAAATATTGTTTCTTTCGATACTCTGAAGAAAGTCAGTTCCATAAATTGTGTGTGCTTACGAAGCATTTGTTCAAGAAATTTTTTTCTGACGCTGTTTCGTTAGCTTTCAAATTCCTGATTTCCTAATTTTCCTAATTCAAATTCTTATTCTATTTTATCAAGGTCGTGTCTTGGTGACCAGTCGTCATATTTTCAGAAAAAAGTCAAAAACCGATGTTGAACCACTGTATATTATGTCAAGTTCTAAAACTTAGAATTGTGTAGATAGTATAAATGCCAGAATTTACTCTTAGATTGCGTCTCTTGAGATTGTTTTGATACGAAATATAATGCTGTCAAGTAGGTCATGGTGAATAAGAAGACTCCGAATAAGTCGATTATAATTTGCTCGTAAGCCAATTTTCGCGAACTAAGTTCGAATCTTCTATTTCCAAGTGTTTTTCGAATTTTTTATCCATGAAGAAAATCGCTTAAGATATGAGCAGTCTTCAAATTAACGCGTCGATGCGGACAAAGCATATGTTTACAATTATTGACGAATTATTTCAGAATCTTTGTTTGTTGCAGGTTCGAAGTTTTTATTTTCTGGACGACAAGAGATTTTAGAAGCAATCATGGTCGGAGTCGGAGTCAGTTCATACTTGCTCAACAAAAATGTTCTAGACCGATACATGCGACTGGAACAACCGAAGGACAAGATCCAGTGCATGTACATCTGGATTGATGGAACTGGAGAAGGGCTTCGTGCCAAGACCAGGACTGTTCAATTCGAACCCAAGTCTCCAGATGGTAAAACTTTACTTGGTTCGATGCCAAAAATAATAATTAGCACTTTTGTCTCACGTAATGGACTGACCCGTTCCAGTGGGAATTTGAATCCTTCTAAAATATCGCTTCCTTCCAGATACCCTTAGAAATCCTTCGATTGCGTAATGTGAACCTATAAATTACTATTACTAAACCTATTACTGACCCTTTAAATTTTCGTGTATTTTTCTCAACCCGTCGCAAGAGACATTAAAAATAATGGAGGAATCAAATTTTGGAAAAATTTAGATAAGCTTTTTTTTTTTGCTGGTGCAGACAATTTATCTTCTGTCACATTCCAGATATGTGGTCATTGTTCTTATTTAGGTTGACAATGAATATATTAACAATATTTAAATTTAGTTTAGGTTTCATCAGTCATTTTTCGGATTGAAAAATATTGATGCATTTTTTTTCTGACGAAGCCAATTTTGGATTTAGAGTGAGCAGAAAAGGAATGATATCTCGTGAAAGCCTTGAATTCAATTACAGTGCTTGGATTTTTTTCATCTCTTATCCAAAAAGATAAAACTCGCCGATTGACAACTTAATTTGTTTAGACTACAGTGAAATTGCCGCATTTTTCAGCATTCTTCGTTCTCATGGTCTCATGTCGGCGCTCACATGCAAACCTTTTTTTTTAGGGAAAAATATGAAAAATTCATTCTAATTTTGTCATTTTTAGAATTGCCGATTTGGAATTTTGACGGAAGTTCAACCGGTCAAGCAGAAGGTAGTAATTCGGACGTGTATCTGCACCCTGTGGCGATTTACAAAGACCCTTTTCGTGGTGGAGCCAATAAACTCGTTCTTTGTGAAGCTTACAAGTACGACAAGACTCCAGCAGGTGATTTATTTTGTGCAATGCCATTTTGTATCATTAAATTTATTACCGCATTTCACTTCTATTGTTTTCATCTAAGTGCAAAAAAATTTTAGTTGATGCTGAGATAAACAAACGTCGCTCGTATATTTTTGTGGATTACTTCGATAATTTGTAGCGAAGTTTAATTTCTATTCAGAATTTTACTGCTCATTTTTTCATCAGAATTAGTTCATTTTTGTTGGTGGAGGTGAGCACTCGTGTGATATTTTGTAGAGAACTTCAGTAATTTTTCGAACTATTGGTTATTTCTGTCTCCACAATTTTGTGTCGATGTTCGTTTGATTTGTTTCTCTCCGTCAATTTAATTGTGTGCCCTTTCTATTGTCAGATACGAACCACCGTAAGACGTGTTTGGAGGTGATGCAGAAGGCTGATGCTTTTCATCCGTGGTTTGGGATTGAGCAAGAATACACCATCCTGGACGTGGACAGACACCCTTTTGGCTGGCCTAAAAATGGATTCCCTGGCCCGCAAGGCCCGTATTATTGCGGTGTAGGGGCCAAGAAAGTTTATGGCAGAGACGTGGTGGAAGCTCATTACAGGGCTTGTCTTTATGCTGGTGTGAAAATCGCTGGTTCTAATGCTGAGGTCATGCCTGCTCAGGTTAGTTAACTTTTCAAATCTTCAGCAATTTTAGTAGGCTAGTTCGAGTACAGTTAAATCTCCTTTTTTGTTACTAATTCTCTAGATTTCCTTAAGTTTTGTAATGTATTGCTTCTAAATTGTAGGCTTCCCCCCTCAAACTTGCATAATTTTTTTAAATTTTTTGGAGGCCTTCTGATCAGGATTTTATTGACGCAGGAAGGATAAAAGTAAGAAAATGTAAAGTTGATCTGTCTTTAAAAGAAATGGAAGACTAATTGGGCAATTGAACCAGTCCAGCATTCTGTCAACTCATTTGAAAAGCAAAATAAGGGCCAGAATATTAAATTATTCTTAAATTCCCACATAAAATGCTTTCCTGTGCTACCTCTGCAACTTAGTTTTTCTGTCTTCAGTTTCTTCTGCTTTGGTTGTGGAGTTTAATGTGCTTTTGTTGAAATGAAAAATATCCAGCTCTAATCATGGATGGATGTACTTCAACTGAAAATGGAGAGCTCTAAATTACAACTAATCCTAACCCCCTTCTATCGTTGTCCAAATGGCTGTTCAGTTTTCTGTGCAAACTTGAGTAATTTCGTAGAATTGAAGCGACACCTATGTGCGAGAAAGTAAAGACCTTGGATTCGGGACATGAGCTCTTGATCGTTAATGACCCATTTTTTACTCCCGTTTCAGTGGGAATTTCAAGTGGGACCTTGCGAAGGGATTCAAATGGGAGACGATTTATGGATAGCGCGATTTTTGCTGCAACGCGTTGCTGAAGACTTTGGCGTTGTGGCTGATTTTGATCCGAAGCCGATTCCTGGGGATTGGAATGGTGCCGGAGCTCACTGTAATTTCTCCACTGACGAGATGCGAGCGCCGAATGGAATCAAGTATTTATTTTTCATATAAAAAAAAAACTCGTGGTGTTCGTGAGAAGTTTATACGAATGAAAAATTTTTTCAGAGCCATTGAGGAGGCCATAGAAAAGATGTCGAGGCACCATGAAAAGCACATTCGATTTTACGATCCGAAGGAGGGGAAGGACAATGCACGTCGTTTGACTGGACTTCATGAGACTTCCAATATCCACGATTTCTCTGCCGGTCAGTTATTTTTTATATCTATTTCGATTTTCTCGCCGCGTTTTGATTCAGCATGGGATGTTTCAAAAGTTCTGTGACGAATTTTGCCAGGCCGTGGATTTGCTGTCTTCATCCGTTTAAGAGGTCCATTATCCGAGATTGATTACAAGTAGTCAAGGAATTCAAGGGACGATAAATAAATTGGATAAATTTTGTTGTGGATTATCCTTGTGATATGGGAGAGAGCGCTGCGAGACCCAAAGGAAAATTCGATGAACACGATCAGAGAGGGTCCACGTATAATTTAAAGAAACCGTTCTCATGGTTAATTTATGGAAAGCTTAATGGAGAAACAAATCCAGCCTGGGTTTCTTGATAAATTCTTGAAAGAAATTCTAATCTAATTCTCGAATAGCTTCACCACAAAAGATCTCGAGCAGCCGTTTTCGTGATGACGTCTCTTTTGGAACGAAATACATTTTAATCGAGAAGTGAGGTTTAAAAATTAATTGCTGGAGTTGCCAACCGAGATGCGAAAATCTTCTTGTACTGTATATGTACAGCTTCACCACGTCTCAGTCTTTAATTAACGCTCGATGAAATTTATTTTGTTTGATGCACGAAAAATTATTGATTTTTTGAATTGCAGGGGTTGCCAACCGAGGTTCGAGCATTCGTATACCACGTGGTGTGGCGGAAGATCGATGTGGCTACCTTGAAGATCGTCGTCCGTCTTCCAATTGCGACCCTTATTCTGTGACTGAGATTGTTGTGCGTACCGTGTGTTTAGATGAGTGAGGAATTTTTGCTGTCAGTGACTTGTATACGATCAGAATATTTTACAACTGCAAAGGCTGATACAAATGACTCTCAAAAAAGAAACCTCAACACTGCTGGTGAAAGCGTTCGCGCGGAAGTGTAAATGATGACCATTTTTCGATTTTTCAAAACTGAAAGCTTGAACCGTGTCGACTGTCATGCCTGAATACACTATTATTCGGACTTCTTGCTTTCTGATCATTGAATTTCAGAAGATATTCTTTTTCAACTTGTCCTGTGAAAAGTGAGAGTTGGTTTTGCGAGGCATGTGTTTCCTCTATGATTTTTAATTTGGTGCTAATTTCAGTACAGGTATTACCAATTCCAATTTCATCATTTTCTCGAATTCATATTGCTGTAAAATCTTTTTCGTCCACAGGTTGTTTGAATAGTTGAAGTAGTGCACCACATTGATGACGAGTAAGTTTTACATGTGCTCCAGTTTTTATGCGTTTTTAATCGGTTGAATTTTGTCCTACTACTGCAAGTTCTTATTTTAAACCTTGAACGCAGGAACTGAAAAATCCGGATGTTTTAAATCTTCATTCTTGAATTCAATTCAGACAACATTTTTATTTTCTAGCACTTGCATATAAAATACAGCGAGTTCCCGCGCATCGGAAATTAGCATCATGCATTTTCCATGAAGAAAAAGTGACCCACATGAAGTGTTCCGATGTTTACTATATCGAGTGAAATTTGTGTTGAAAAACTTTATTTTTAACTCTTCATCACTTGAAAGCTAGTTTCATTGAAGAGAGTGCGAGAAGAAGGTTATCGGTGATTTCTTTTTCGTATTTCAAGATAGTTCTATCCATTCTCAACAATGGATACTTTCTATCGCTGCAGTTAATGTTCAGAATTCCGAAATCCAATCCGATTTGCGAAGAATTTGAACACTTCGATCTGTAGTGAAATGATTGTCCGACATCCGCGGATGTCACGTGAATTTCACAGTCTTTCAAACAGGAATTCGCGGAATGTGCGACGATGCTGACTATTTTCTCCAGATTATGAAAACATTTCTTGCGGAACTGGACCAAGGAAGAAGATTCTGGCGAAACTTTGAAGACGTGGCGAAGGAAGAAATGGTGTCTTGGAATATTTTTGAGGAGCCTTTTCTGTTTCCATGTTGTGTAAGATTGGATTGGATGTTCTGTGGCGATCATTTGTTGCTCTGGAAAGCAAATGGTGGATGCGTTTTTGACATGCTTGAGTTGTGGGGTCTCCAAGAGTTCTGACCAGGTTTTAACAGTGGGATCCTTTGGAAGAATTAGTTCATCCATGTCTAGAAGTACTGCGTATTCATACCTGGAGTGAATACAGTGAAATCTTGTTTCAACAAATACAATTACGGTACTTTTTCCAGTTAAAAAAAAATTCTTCAAGTGTCAGTCAAAAGCCTATATAGAGAACATTTTGAAAATATCTATATAATTAATATCTATAATTAATTATAATAATTATATTAATTATATTAATATTAATTATATTAATTATAATATAATTAATTTTTCCAGTGAAATTTTGCTACAGCAAATTCCACTAAATCAAAATTTGCAGGATAACAAACTTTTCTTGAGTACCTCCAGAAAACCTGTACAGTTTTGAGTCCGTTTTAAGAATATTCAACTGCAACTAATTTTTAGCAATACAGTATTTTGCTATTCTCCTGCTGAAAATCTCTCAAGACTGGTATAGCCTCAAATTTTCCTTTCCAAATGTGAACAAGACTCCTTATTGGAGCATGAACTCAGCATAACTCATTTTGAAATGGGTTTGTATGCTTGAGAAACCATATACTGTTGCGAAGATTTTCAGCTTTTTTGGAACATCCACCCTTGAAGCAAATCTGTGCAGGAATTGCTTGGAAACTTGTCAACAAAAAATGATGGTGTCAACTTGTTATCAAGAGTAATTGTTTATTAGTAACATTTGAATTTCTTTTTGAAGATTGCAGTTTTTTAATCACTGAAAAATATCTGGAAAAGGGATAAAAAGAATTTGTTGAATATATGCAGGTCTGACTCAACGAAAATCTTCTATTTAGTCAATACTTCTTAGAATCTTGTAGCAAATTGTTTTATAACAAACTTTTTCTGAAGTCCACACAAGTTTTATAAGATTTTAATGTATGGCAATTATTTTCTGAAGATTGCAAAAGTTTGTTGTAATGGGGTTTTCAAGTACAGCAGTAGTGTTATTATGATGAGATTATGTCAAATTTGTTTGGAAGTTATCAGAAGTACATGTTGTGATAGGTTTTTATTGTACAGAAGTTCAGATTTTCTTAAACTGAAATTAATGGGAAGAAGCAATGCAGTACTATAAATGTACTGAACAAATTTGATTAACATTATGAATCTGATCTTGTGAAGCTTTTTGATGTTTTGAGATTATAAAAATTTGTTTGTAAATCCCCAACAGAAGGATGTTGTAATGGGATTTCACTTCACATCAATACTTCAAAATTTTTTCAAAGTGAAATTAGTGGAAGGAAACTGGGCAGTATTTCTAAGTAACACATTTGATGCAAATTATGAATCTGATTATGTGAATCCTTTTGATGCTATGTTTTTATGATAAATTTGCTCTGGAATCTCCAAGTTTGTTTCAATATGGGTTAATACTGTAAAGTAGTTTACTGTGAATCTGATTACGCTGTGAATATTTTTGAATGCCTGTATATATACAGGGGAGATTTGACTTTATTTTAAGTATAAAAATTGTACTTGCTTGGAAATGGAGTTCAAGATGCAGACGTTCTCATTGATGAGTTCAACAATGAGGTGTATCCATCTGAAAATTGAAGGAGATCTTGATGGATAAGCCAACTTGATTATCCCAGCCCAGTTTGAATGCATCCCTGGCCAAGCTGACTTCTGTATCTCGAGGAATCCTTGCGCTTCATAAAACCTGGCTTAATTTCCCAAAATTAACACAAATGGTGTATCAAAAATTTTTCAGTACAACATTAAAGGAAAGAAAACGCACTTCATGACTTCAGTCACATTTGAGTGTTGGAGGTCTCCTGTGCTGAAGGCCACAACTTTATCTGCCCCAAATATTTTCATGAATTCAAGCCATTCAGCCAGTATCAGTGAGTTGTCTTCAAATGGTAAAAATATTTCCTTCAGGCAGACAACAAACTTCTTCTTGGAAGCCATAGAATTTTCCAAATTCCCCAATTTCAATAGGTTGCTCACTGACTTGCATTGACTTGGGTCAATGATGGAAACTCCTGAGGACTCCTGCAGTCTGTGGAAAACATTCAGAGCTCTTGTTTTGTTATGTGAAGAATATATAAATACCAGAATTTACTTGTCAGGGTTTTTGGTGTAAAAGTTTCCTATTGCCGGAACTTGTTTTTTTGTGCTGTTGAAGGTTGTGTAACTTGTCAAAGTCAGCCTTTTGTGCAGTGTTCCATCAGGCTTCCAAATAAGAGCATCTAATTTTGGGCTTGATTTTTTGAGCATGTGTTCAAAAGGTGTGTGTTGAGTTTCTATGTACAGAACACATCTGACAAGTATCCCTGTTATGTTTCTAGGATCAACATGGCAGGAGCGGATTTGGATGTTTCCAAATGTTGCCTGCAGTGACTGAAAATTGCGAGTGAAAATAAATAACTTTTTTAGATCCAAAATATGTAGGATGGTATTTGCATTTGGTTTATTTAGAGAGGTATTATTGGTATACAATACCTGTTATATAGATCATACTCACAACAAGAACCATGTTTACCTTCTGTATTACTGTATAAGAATTTATTATACAGTATTTTAAAAATTATTTTTGAAATTATAAGAAAGTTCAAGTTTTCTTGTGTTATATAGACACAATAGAAGATTACATATATCTAATTTTATTGTGTTATAGACACAAAAAGATTACATATATGTAAGCTCAAATCACGTGATCAATTTCCAAAGAAATTGTAAAAGTGCTGCTGAAAAAGTTTTGAAGGGTCTTCAATAATTACCTTCCTTTGCTTCTTAGTTTGCTTCAGTTCATAATTCTAATTCTTGATAAAAATGGATTTTTGAACTTGGTACAGTATAGATGCATTACAGAGTTTAGTGAATTAAGTACAGTAATTCATTTGATATCAACTTTTCCCTTCCAAAATCAATTCACATTTGTTTCAAATGAAGGCAGCAGATGATGCATATATACAGTATACATTTTGACTATATATTGTATGAGTGCAATATATATGAATACTGTACATGCATCATATAGTATTAGGTTATTTACAAAGACGAATAATAGTGATTGGAGAAAAATATAGTTGTGGAACTGTTGTAGAGAAAATCCTCCTGCATGCAGGTAGGATTTTCTCTATTTTTGTAGAATTATGTAGCATATATTCACTCTCTTACTTGATAAATGTTGCTGAATTTCAAGCTTTCCAATGGAGGAAACTGAAGGCACCTGGGTGTCTTTGGGTCAGCTGATTTGATTGAATTGCCCAAATATTGTTTGAAAAGTAGCACAGGGATGTTGTCATAACTTTCCAGCTCTTGGTCTAAACTGCTTGTTTGTTTTTCTATTGTATCAATTGTTAAATGGCGGGCTGAAATATTTTTCTCATGGCTTCTGCTGTTTTTCGTCTGGAAAGAAGACAGATTATATTGTACTTCATTGTAGGAATCCTGAATTATTCATGAATGATTGTGTTCACCTCACCCTTTGCAAATCTCTGTCTTCATAGAAGCCCATTGGCGTTAGCACCACTGTGATGAGTATGAAATAAACGACAGTGATGATGACTGTGATTATGATTCTACGGACAAATCTTGTTCTTCTGCGAACTTCGGCGTATTTTTTGAGAACTGAACCCAATTTGGACTTCCTGCTGGGAAATTTCTGTTGGATCAGACAACCAGCAGCTGCTAACATTTTGAGCTCTAGTGGAAAACTGATCGGGCACTGGTCTGTCGTCGCAAATAGACAGACACGCATTAAGTAGCCGTTCTCTTCAAAACACGCGCCCTTATCTTCGGAATTGACACTCTTTTATTGCTAACTCAGTATGTTCCACAGTGTCTGACATATATCAGGTCATACAGCCGTCTTCCAAATGCGTCCATCAAGCATTTTCCGGAAGTGATCACTTCCTGTTTCCAAACTCGATAAATTGGGCACATTTTGTAGTGTGAGTTTTGTAGAAACTGTTTTTTTCTAAATGCTTGAATAGCTTTAATATTTGGGTATTCCAAATGTGGCATGTGTGCTGAAATTTCTCGCAGTGTAAAAAAGAATTCCGTTCAACCGTCCCACCTACATCGTCACAAGCTTCTCTGTCATGTCCTATATATTCGCCCGACTGATGGAATGAAGAGGAGACGTTCATTCGAAATTCGTCTACGCGGCGGCCGATAATTAATGTTGAATGAGTGCATTCGGTGAGTTTCTGCCGTAATCACAGGAGTATCATTCTTGTCTTGAATGGAGTGAGCTCTAGGGTGGTTAACCGTGGGCGGAGGGCCTCCTAAAGTTGATACGCTTCGAGTTAAATTGTATTTAGATGAATATGTGACGAAGTGAACAATTTTATAGTCGTCGTAGAAACGTCATCTTCAAACATAGCTGATGACGTTTCATCAACTCACAGTCTTTAATCCCGTTAAAGAAATATTCTTGCAGAGTTTCACCTTTAAAAGGTTCCCCAATCTTGATGATAAATTCCATCGCATGCGTTGAAAATCCATCAGTGAATTTTGGAACATGTCGTTTTGTTCCTGTTCACGTTTTCCTTTTATTTCTCACCTCGTGCGGGTGATTCGAGCAGATTGTTTCACAATTTAATCCTGGTGATCGTGTGGGTTGAGGTCTTCGTCCGTTACTTATGTCAAAGTGGCGTCGCGATCCAGTTTTCGTGACTGTGGCGCTCGGAGGCCATTGTCATACGCTAAGCATTTACATTGCAAGAAACCCAGTAACAGAAACAGTGATTCCACAATGCAAGAGACTTATTCTTCCGACAGATCTCTCCTGACATCCGATGTTGCAAAGTTATCTCGATCGCGAGCAGGTTGCTCTTCGCGAAAACACGAATCACAGTTCTCGGGATTGAGCCATTTTGAATCGTTAAGTTTTATGTTTGGTGCGGCAAATACTGCCAAGAGTGCTCAACGGTACGGTGAAACAATGAGTGTCGACACTTACGGTCCGAGTTCCCAGCCTTTAAGCTTTCTGGAAGCCGATGACATCGGAGCCGATACCCAAGGCACTGATTTCGGTTATACCGATTTCACGATGCCGTCTCAAAGTCAAACGCAGGGTGATGGCATGAAAGGATTGTCTGATGCATTCAAGACCGCGATGGTACGTTTTAATCTTATGCATATTTTTCCTAAGAGGTGTGTGAATTGGCGATGTTCATTGTGTCACAGATTTTTCTGGAAACGTTGAAATAGAATCAATTGAAAGTATATCCAGGAGGTAAAAGACTAGAGATGGTCGAAGCAACATTGCCTTTATACTTCCCCTGTGCTGAATACTTCAGTGAGTGCGATTTCATATGTCGCTTCTTTTTCAGAATTTGAGCGGAGATGTTGAGACAAGAGGAGATGGGCTGCTAGAATTGAAGTTTCAGGAAGATGAGGATGATCCGGATAACATGAAGGATCTCCCGGAACATGCTTGTCGTTATTGTGGGATCCATGACGCGAACTGCGTCGTCATGTGTAATGTTTGTCGGCGTTGGTTCTGTAACGGACGCGGGAATACTTCTGGATCTCACATTGTAAACCATCTCGTTCGTGCCAAGCATAGAGTGAGTGATTTGCGTCAAGTCCCTGTCTGAATCCCCCTGAAGCAATGCTTTAGAATTTAGATACCTCTTTAACTCGAAGGCTTCCCCTGAAACCTGCATAACTCGAATTACAATTCTCATTAATTTTTCTTTCCCATAAAAAAAGCTTTTTTCCCGAACTCAAAACCTTGCTAACGCTTATTTTGCTGGTCTATTCAAGTTCGATATGAAGAGATTAGACCGTAGTACGGATTATTCGTTGATGGATTGGTGCCGATTGAGCTGAACGTTGTAGAGTGGCTCATTTTAATGTTTTATCATTGATAATTTTCGAGGTAATTTTTTCTTGATAGGTACAGAAATCGATCAGAAACCGGCGATTTGTGTTTTTTCGTTTGTTTATTCTTTGGAAGAGCTGTTTTTAATACTGTAATTTGAAGTTACAGGAGAATTTCATTATATCGAACTATTAGTGACAAAGACTTCGTTTTTTCATGGATCCTGCCTAAGAGCAATTATGTTATTCAATTCGCTGTATATTGAATTTATCGTTATAACGAAATTTTATCGAGTCCCAACAGCTTCCTTGTGACGAGATTTTTCTGTACAATTTTTCAATTCTCCTTTTAAGAGTTGTCAAACTTGGTCATGAATGAAATGCTTACACACTTTTTCAGGAAGTCACATTGCACAAGGATGGTCCTTTGGGTGAAACCATATTGGAGTGCTATGCTTGCTCTAGCAGGAACGTTTTCGTCCTCGGATTCATCCCGGCTCAGGCGGATTCAGTAGTTGTCCTACTTTGTCGTCAACCGTGTGCATCAAATACGTCCCTAAAGGATATGAAATGGGACCAAGAACAATGGAAACCCTTGATTCAAGACCGAACTTTTCTTCCTTGGCTCGTCAGGGCACCGTTGGATGTTGAAACATCACGAGCAAGGGTAGTTTCAGGACAGCAAATCGCCCGACTCGAAGAGCTTTGGAAAGATAACCCCGAGGCGTTGATTGAGGATTTAGAGAAACCGGGTGTAGATGAAGAACCGCAGCACGTGATGCTGAGATACGAGGATGGATACCAGTACCAGAATATTTTCGGTCCACTGGTCAAGTTGGAGGCGGACCACGATAAGAAGTTGAAGGAGGCACAAACGCAGGAGAATGTGGATGTCAAGTGGGACCAGGGACTTAACAAGAAGATTATTGCTTATTTCAGGTTTTCAAAATCTGAGGGTGGTAAGTTCATAATTTCTCGGTAGCTCCGTTTTAGAATTATATTTGGAAAAAAATCAAGAATTGTAGTGTCCTTGTTGTCAAAATAGTGCTTTTGTAATTATGTGTATCAACACATACTCTTGGTTCGTTGTGACTTGTACAGTCGAACCTCTTCGAGTCGAATTTCAAGGGACCAGTAAGAAAATTCAAGTTAGGGGCATTTCGAATTTGGGGAACAAAAGAAAAATTACAGGAACTTGTAATTGGTGATATCCTTGGTCTGAAATTGGTTCTTGACGGAGTTCGCAGGATGCTGAACTTAAGAGGCTAGGATTTATTCGCCCGATTAGTCTTTCACTTCCTTTCAAAACACATCAAGTTTAATTGCTTTTGTCTTTTCTGAGTCTATGAAGTAGGCTCAGAAGTAATAGCCAAAAGGCCTCCAGAAAATTCAAATTATGGTGTTCCGAAAGGGAAAGCTTTTGATTTGGGGACATTTTTAATGCATTGTTCCTGCAGGAATTCTTGAAAAATTTCAAGAATTTTTGAAGGGACTTGAAAAATTACACATGGGGAGATCTTCAACTTGAGGAGGTTATCAAGGTTGAATCGACTTGATTGTCACCTTAGTTTTAGTGTTTTTCTGGACATATTTATTAAGACTTAGCTGCGATTATCTAAGTTTACCGATGAAAGCGTTTCAGAGTATTTAAGAAATTGTGACAAATTAAGGTTAGTTAAATGTTGACTTTGGTACTTGAAATTAAATTCGGTTTTTTGTTTAAAATTTGGGTAGGTTATATGTTTGATAAGGTAGGGGTTCACACGATTCAGTTGAGATTATTAAAAAGATTTCACACGACGCAAAACATGTGGATTAAATTAAAATCGGTTGCAATTGGAAAATCATATGTGAATGTATATTATTTTTGTCAAATTAATAGCCGTTTTCTTTCGTTTTTCCAAGATATGAAATTGATGCACGGAGACGAGCTGCGATTGCGTTACGTTGGCGACCCGAGTCGGTCGTGGTCTGGCGTCGGCCACGTCATCAAAATCCCCGACAACTTCGGCGAAGACGTTGGTATCGAATTGAAGAGCAACGCGGATGCGCCGACGGAATTGTGCACCAGCTTCGTCGTTGATTTCGTGTGGAAATCGACGTCTTTTGACCGCATGCAGTCTGCATTGCGCAAATTTGCCGTGGACGAGAGCGCAGTTTCCGGTTACATTTACCACAAACTTCTGGGACACGAAGTTGAAGATGCCATTTTCCGCGCGCCTTTGCCCAAGCATTTCTCAGCCCCGAATTTGCCGGATTTGAATCGATCACAGGTTTGTGATCTTATTATAATTTGTTTTGTTTTGGGTAACTGATGTATTCTTCTGAAGAAAAAGGTGATCCTGATTAATGTCTCATTCGCAAGAGGTACAGTACATTAAATCAAATTCACGAAGGCATGTATCGTAAGACTTTTCTCCCTCGAAGACTGAAGACAATCATCAATCATTTAATATAAGTGAACTCGCTCTACAACGAAATTCTCTTTTTAACAAGTTTTTCAAGTCCCATGAATTTTGTTGCATAGACTTGTATGGGACCTAAAGTGAATTCGTCAAGCAAAATAAATCTTCGTAGCGAAAATAATTTCGGAGAGTCTTCCTTTATTTTCAGGATCAGAGTTATTGAGGCGACATCTGTTAGGATTTTCAGAAAATAATTTGTGGCGTTTACGTGAGATGAATTTTGTCTTGATTTTCTGTTGAAAAAAAATTGAAATTTTGTTACAACGAAGCGTATCGTGAGGACAGCTTAGTTATAACGAAAAAATTTTATGGTTGATCATTATTTGTTCAGTATGTTAACCGAAACCAAAATCGGTGGCAGTCCTAGTCAGCTGGGTTTCGAAATTCATCATGCGAGAGTGTCATCATTTAAGAGATCTCGGTAATTAAGTTTTAATATATTCGTATGTTCTTGAATATCGATCAGGTTTTCGCCGTGAAGCAAGCTTTGCAAAGACCGTTGGCATTAATCCAAGGACCACCAGGCACGGGAAAAACTGTCACATCCGCTACGATAGTGTATCATTTGGTGAAGCAATCGGGTCCTCCGGTTTTGGTTTGCGCACCTTCCAACATTGCCGTGGACCAGCTGACGGAGAAGATACATCAAACAGGGTTGCGAGTGGTTCGTCTCTGTGCCAAAAGCAGGGAGGCCATCGATTCACCGGTTTCCTTTTTGGCCCTGCATAATCAGATTCGGAGCATGAAAGCCGTCCCGTGAGTTGTGTTTTTTTTCTGCTCTTTTCATTGTATAGAGGAATTTTAAACTCGTTTGATGTTATCTTAAATTAAATATCCGTCCGCGCCTCTTTAAAAGCAATGCTGATGTGTATTTTATTGGTACTTTCTCATATAATTCGACGAGCGACTTCATTTCCTTCCCTTGGATAATTTTTTAAAAGAATGAGCGAAGATCAACTGAAATCTGAAAATAGTTCATAATCTGAGGAAACTTAACTTCATTAGGTGATTTTTTCTTTATACTGAATTTGCTGTCATCGCAAGCAAGAAACAACTGGAAAACTTGCATGTAACATTTTCTACCCCATTTTTATGAATAATTTGTGAAGCATAAGGTAATGTATAATATTTTTCACGGAATTTGCTGTGACTCAGTCACGTGAAGTTTCTTTGATTTATTGAAGATATTCAGTTAAAGGTCGATGAATTTGTTCGTGGTAAGGTTTGCAATTGACTCGTTTTTTAAGGGTACATGAAAAATTAAAATGAATGAACAACTGGGGTCTATGCGAAGAGTGTACCTTTTTTTTTAACGTGGACCTTTAATGAAATAACATCTGAATCAACAGAAAAATTATTGCTGAAAAATCAGGAATTTTTGGTGACGCATTTTTCCTCCAGAAATCCGCAATTATGCGGTTTCTCTATCTTCTAACAAATCATAACCCAGAATCAAGATTATGTATATTGGCGCGGAAATTCAATTCGTTCGAAATTGTTTTATCAATTTATTTTTTCCCACAGGAAAAATTCAGAACTGTTGAAATTGCAAGAGCTGAAGGAAGTGACTGGCGAGCTGTCATCCGGCGACGAAAAGCGGTATCGCATGTTGAAACGCAGCGCCGAAAGGGATCTTCTCGCCGCCGCCGACGTGGTCTGCTGCACGTGCGTCGGCGCCGGCGACCCTCGTCTGAACCGCATCAAGTTCCACTCGGCCCTCATTGACGAGAGTATGCAAGCCACGGAGCCGGAATGCATGGTGCCGGTCGTGTTGGGCACGAAGCAATTGATCCTCGTGGGCGACCATTGTCAATTGGGGCCGATTGTCATGTGCAAGAAGGCTTCTCGAGCGGGGTTGTCCCAGTCGTTGTTTGAGCGACTCGTGGTGTTGGGCATTCGGCCGTTGCGGCTCGAGGTGCAGTACAGAATGCATCCCGAGTTGTCTCGGTTCCCGTCTTCGTTTTTTTATGACGGATCTCTGCAAGATGGCGTCACGCGAGGTGAATTGGATTTCAATTTGAAAGAAAGATCATTTTAATTTATTTTTTATTTCCAAAAGAAGTCCATAAAACTCAACAACGATCGACACTCATTTAATACGGTCGAACTTCAGAAGAACAGCAGAAAAAATCGAGTTAGGAAGGTTTTGAATTAGGGAAAAGAGCATCTTTCTTGTGGAAAGAATTACAGAAAATCGTAAATTGTGATATTCTAGGCCTTAAATCGCTTCTTGAGTTTGACAGGATGCCGAAATCGAAGACAAGGGTTTTTGACCCATCAATCTTTTACTTCCTTTCGGAAAACCTGAAGTTAAATTGTTCTTGCTTGTTTATTTTCCATCAGTGAAATAATAGCCAGAAGGCCTACAGAAAATTCGAATTATGGAGGGTTTGAAGGAGAAAGCCTTTTAGTTACGGGGTTTTTTAATACCTGTACACTGTTCGTAAGGAAATACAGACAGGGTCTCGAAAAAAATTTGGTACTTCGGAGGTTTGAGTTATCGAGGTTCAAGTGTTGTTTAAATCACGGAGTTGAGACATTTGTCGTTGTAGTGGAAAAGCCGGATCAGTCAGAAGAATTTTAAAACTCTTGTCTTCAGTCCTCGAACACAAAAAATTTGGAATTGATGTACTTACTTGACCTGGTGTTTTTTTTTACCGAGAAGGAAATGATTTCGTGGAGAATATATATTTTTTTTATTACTCTGGTTTCAGTTGAGAGAAGGTTGAAGAACATTGATTTCCCGTGGCCACAAGCGGAGAAGCCGATGTTCTTCTACTCTACAACGGGACAAGAGGAGATCGCATCTTCGGGCACTTCGTACCTGAACCGAACCGAGGCGGCAAATGTAGAAAAAATCACCACCAAGTTTCTCAAGAGTGGCGTAAAACCCCAACAAATCGGCATCATCACGCCCTACGAAGGCCAACGAGCTTACGTGGTCAACTACATGCAACACCAGGGTTCCATGCCTCCTAAAGTTTATCAGGATGTCGAAGTGGCGAGTGTCGATGCATTCCAGGGCCGGGAAAAAGACATCATTATCATGACTTGCGTGAGGTCGAATGAGCATCAGGGAATTGGATTTTTAAACGACCCGAGGAGGTTGAATGTCGCCATTACGAGGGCCAAGTATGGGATCATCGTCATAGGAAATCCGAAGGTTCTCTGCAAGGTGAGGGGGGTTTTTTTCACCCAGGATTTGCACAGACTCATTTCTGGGGATGCGGACAATTTGAGACATGGTCA